GTTGTTGTTAAGTGCCGTCGAGTCATTTCCGACTCATAGTGACCCCATGCACAGCAGAACGAAACACTGCCTGATCCCACGCCAGCCCCACAATCGCTGCTATACTTGAGCCCATCATCGCAGCCACTGTTATCAATGGCTCTATGAGAAACTTATAAATGGAAAAATAGTGAATTTTACAATAAGAAAGAATGGAAGGAAACGTGAACATGAAATCAAGCTACTTGTAAACCAAATATAAGTACATTTATGTCTATGAAAAATTTTATCAATAAAAACATTAACAAATATAAAGCTATATTTGTTACAGTCCATTCCTTACAGACTAATTTATACTAGGCAAGACTTGAAGAAAGGTAAAATTACACCTGGCCTGAGAAAGTAACAAACACTGATGATGAAAATTCCAAAGTTATGATGAAAGTCTCCCAAAGGCATAAAGTAGCTCCAATAACTCTTTCTTTGAGTTAGTATTGACAGCTTATTCATCAAGAAACTTCACTCCCATACGACTGGAAATTCTTGGTTTGAAATTGTAACAATTAATAGAAAAACTCTCACTTCAATATAAAGCAGTATCTCCAATGGGTATTCTTATGTATGAGTTTAGAGAAGGAAATAATGGTTGTCTCAAATTCCAACAATCATAAAGGCTCAGTCCATTGTCACTTCTATGTTGAGGGATGGATGATCTGTAAGTACAGGATTTCCCACATTCCTTGCTTTAACATGGCCTCTCTCCACTGTGAATTCTTCCATGCATATTGGGTTTGAGGACAGACAAAAGGCTTTTCATATTCCTTACATTCACAAGGCCTCTGTTCACTGTGAATTCTAATGTTTAGTTAAACCTGATGACCAAGTAAAGGCTTTTCTATATTCCTTACATACAGATGGCCTCTACAATGTGAGTTTTTCTATGTCTGTGGAGAGATGTGTGGTAAGCAAAGCATTTCTCACATTGCTCACATTTATAAGGCTTCTCTCCACTATGACTTCTCCCATGTGCAATTACCGACGATGGACTCATAAAGAATTTCCCGCATTCCTTACACTCATAACGCCTCTCTCTACTGTGACTTCTATGACTATTGAGGGCTGAGAGGTAAATAAAGGCTTTCCCACAGTCCTTATGTAAGGTCTCGATGAAGAAAAGAGGAGGAGGCACAAAGAGTGGGGTAAAGGAAAGTTTTATTCTGCACTCCCAGGCGAGGTTCATGGGTCCCTGATGGGGGGCCAGAGACGTCGTGCTGCCTGAACAGGGGGAGAGGTTTATATAGTTGCATAGCGGACCTGAGTGGGGGCAGAGGGAAAAAGGAGGGAATCAATCAGGTGAAAGCACCTCAATAGCATAGTCATTAAGGGAGGGGGAAGGACCTGTGCTGGTTCAAAATAAGGCGGGAACCAATCAGGTGGAAGCTGCGTCCGGGTTGGACTGTTTGTAACTTCTTCCTGCTCAGTCCTTTACCTGCCTGACTGAAGCCGCATTCCTGCCTGACATTCCGGCCTTTTCGGTGATAAAAGGGCGATGTTATCATTCTGGCTACTTCCTGCTGGACAGGGTCGGTGTAGGGTTATAGGCCAGAGTCAGTGGGGATCGGGGCCAGTCAGTAGGCGAGTATAAGGGTGTAGGAGTACTGGTTGACAGTCACTCTGGACAGTTCTTTGAGTTGGTTTTGGAGGAATCTAAGGAAGTAAGGGGTGAAAAGAAAGAAAAGACTTATTAATAGAAGAGGTCCTGTAAGGGGTATAAACCAGGCTATCAGTGGTGATCAGAACCATTCAAATGGTGAGGTTCCCATTCAGTATTTATTGCATAATTCTTCACTCAGTTGGGTCAGTGTATCGATGTTTTGTTCCACCAGACCAGATTCATTGATGTAGTAGCAGCACTCTTCTCTGAGAAAGAGGCAGGTTCCACCCTTTTCAGCTGTCAATAGGTCCAGGTCTCTTCGATTCTACAAAGTAACTTGGGCCAGAGAGGTTAGTTGTCATTGGAGAGAAGCTAAAGAATCTGCAGTGGTTTCTAGAGTTATTTCTAATTGGTTGTGGAAATCTTGAGCATACATTATGCTGTGACCCAATGCCCCTCCTGCTAGTCCAGTTGCAGTGAAGGCAGAAGCTAGGCTGAGGCCTACTATGACAGGTAAAAAGGCAGCTCCCTTTTACCTGTCATAGTAGTATGGTTGGTAATAGCCAGTAGAGTTCAGATTCTCCGTATACTGTAAGTTGGGGAACTACTGTTACTGGAAAACAAGGGCTTGGGGTGGTGTTATTTATACATTTAAGTAGGATTCCGTTGCACCAAAAATACGCTCCCGTTGCTAAGGTGGTTTGGGAGGTGATAGATATGTTTTGTGAGCAGGGAGTTTGTTCTGAAAATACAGATATGGTATTGTTGGTAAGGAAACAAATCTGGGAGGGCCTTGTTTGACTGACAAGTGTCAGGTTCCCAAAGGGGTACCTGTAATGAAGGAGTAATGCAGGAGGGGTTAGGTGTGAATGTAGATGCTGGTTGAGTGGGATTAAGAGTGGAGTTAACTAGTATTTCCGCAAGTAGGGGACATTGAAGTGAAGCACATAGGAAGCAGTGTGAGGTATCAGGTAATGCATGAGAGTGGTTGAAGAAGGATAAAGTATGTTGAATGATTTGTATCCAGGAAGATACAGGAGCTGTTTTGGGAGTTCCCAGGATTTGTTCCTGTCAAGTCTGTTCTGCTTGGGATATGCCGGTGGAGATGTGTATGGAAGTGTTGAGGGTTGCAACATATTCCTGTGCTAAATTAAGGGTTCCCTGAGGGTAGGGTGCTGTAAAATGTACCATACAGTTTGCCCTCGACTCCTGATAACCACCTGGTGTCCCAAGGGTCACAAATACAGAAGTAAAACTTCCTGTTTTCAATGAAAAATGTCTCACCCCTATGTACATTATATGCATCATGATATCTGCACGAGCAATAATAGCATTGACCATAGGTGGAAGAGAGTTGTTTGCAACTCTCAGAGTGTTGGTCATATAGAAAATAAGCAAAGGAGTGATAAGGAGTTGATACTGATTTGGGAGTAATAAGTATTCTAATTTCTAACTGACATCCCTGTAGTGAACAATCTGCCAAACCTATAAAATGGGTTACCTGGGAGCACTGATAAGAGTAGGTCTCACGGACTTTAAATCTCCAAACATATGTAGTTCTAGTTGGGGTGGGGAGGGTGAGGAAAATAAGGAGAAGTTGGACCCACAGTTTAGTAGATGTATAGCTCATGGTTCTCTGGGGTCTGGTTGAGGATGGTCTGTGTAGGTTTTGCACCTGGTGGCAGGTATCTGTTCACGTGTTCCTGTAAAAGTTGTCTGAGGAAGGAGGGATAAGGAAAATGGGAGGGTAGAGAGGAGAGAAACTGAGTGATGAGATAAAAGGTCCTGTCATTGGTGGGGTGAGAAAACTTGGAGGTTGATAAAAAGTTAGTTTGAGGGCTTCTTGCATGAGAATTGCCGTGGCGGCTAATGCCCGTAAGCAGGGTTGCCACCCCCAAGTTGTGGGATCTAATTGTTTAGACAAGTTGGCTATGGGAGAATGATAAGGACCTAATGGTTGAATGAGGACTCCCAGAGCAATCCCCTGTCGCTCGTCAGTGAATAGGAGGAATGGTTTGGAAGGATTGGGAAGGTTTAAGGGAGGAGATTACAGGAGACAATCTCGAAGGGTTAGGAAAGCCTGTTTAACCATTTGTGGTGACTACAGGGGGCCTGTGGGTGTGTCTTTGGCTGCCTTGTAAAGTAGTTTGGTGAGTAAGGAGAAGTTAGGGATCCAATGCCTGAAGAATCCCATAAATCCCAGGAAGGAAAGGATCTGGTCAGCTGAGGTGGGGGGTAGTAGGTTCCGTAAGGTTTGTTTTCTACCAAGGTTAGTTCACGAGTAGTGGGTATTAGTTTCAAACCAAGATATGTTACCGATGTTGTAGATAGTTGGGCCTTTGATGGGGATACTCTGTAGCCCTTTACTGCTAGGAAATTAAGTAATAGAGCCATGTGGGTTGTTGATTGTGTTAAGGAGGGACTACATAATAATAAATTATCTACATACTGTAGAAGAGTGTAGTAGATACATCACACTCAAGGAGGTCTTTGGCTAAAACCTGGCCGAAGAGGTGGGGGCTGTCCCTGAAACTTGCGGTAAAACTGTCCAAGTGAGCTGAGTAGCTATGTGGGTGTCAGGATCTTCCCAAGTAAAAGCAAATAGGTTATAACAAGTTGGATCAAGTGGAATAGTAAAGAAGGCATCTTTAAGATCTAGTAGAGAGAAGTGAGTAGTAGACGGTGGGATGCGAGAAAGTAGTGTATAAGGGTTAGGAACAACAGGGTGTAGAGGTACTACTGCTTCATTAATAAGGCGCAAATCTTGTACTAAATGGTATGAGCCATCAGATTTCTTTACTGGTAGAATGGGAGTATTATAGGGAGAATGTGTAGGAATTAAAAGACCTTTAGATAAGAGGCACTGAATAAGAGATTTCAGTCCTTGCCTGTGCGTCAGGAAGATGGGAAATTGGGGCATAGACGGAAAATGTGAGGGGTCTTTTAAATGGGTAATGACAGGAGAGTGGTGGGTAGCAATAGTGGGGGTAGAAATGTCCCATACTATGGGATTTACTAAATCAGGAGACAAAGGAGGGTTAGGTTTGGATATTGGAACAGAAATCAATGGTAATAAATGGGTTGCTGAGGGGTCCTGAGTCCAGTGTAGGGTGGCACTTAACTTACAAAGAAAGTCTTTTCCTAAAAGTGGAGTGAGACAGGTGGGCATAATTAAAAAGGAATGGGTTAAAATCTTACAATCTATGAGACATGTAACAGGGCTTGTCATCTGAGGGTTAGAGGGTTGCCCACAGATTCCCATAACCGAGACTGGTAGAGAAATGATTGTCCTGAGAAGGAGGGAAGGACAGAGTAGGTAGCCCCCATGTCTACCAAAAGGATGTCAACTTACCCGCTACCTTGAATGTTACCCTGGGCTTGGCAAGAGTAATGGGGGTCGACGAGTCGGGGCTCCTTCAGTCTTCAGCTGCCAGAACTAGAACACTCAATGGTGGGTCAGGGGGTAGAAAAGTTGACCCCCCATGTCTTGGCATGGAGGAACAGTCACTTTGCCGATGTCCCATTTGACTGCACGCTGGACAAGGTTTGGAAGTTTGTTGTGGATGTGGGCAGTGGTTGGCCCAATGGCCTTCCTTCCCACATTTAAAGCAGGCTCCCAGTGGTAAGTTGTTTCTGGCTGGTCGTGTAGGTGCTGCTGGCCTCAGGGCTGCCACCAAGGCTCAGGCTTGTAGACAAGCCTTCTGGCAAGTCTGAACCTCCCTATCTGCCTCAGGCCACTCCTCCCAGGTGTTAAAGACTTTAAAGGCCATATTCACCAGGTCTCAGATGGGAGTCTGGGGACCCTCCTCTGCCTTGTTTAGCTTCTTCCTAATATCTGGAGAAGATTGGGTGATAAAGTGGGTAGCTAAAACAGTAGCTCCTGTCTAGGAGGTTGGGTCTAAGTGAGTATATTGTGTAAGGGTCTCAGTGAGGTGATTAAGAAAAGCTGCTGCGTTTTCATTAGAGAGTTTAGTAATCTCTTGCAGCTTATCAAAATTAATAACTTTATGTGAGATAGCCTGTAAACCCACTAGGAGGCACTGGAGCATTTTGTCCCTGCAAGTGCGGCCATTCCGCCCAGATTGGGTATCTAGTTGGTATTCCCATCCGGGGTCCTGTCCAGGAATGGCTACTGGACCCACTGGCATGGTAGGGCCAATTAAATGAGTTTGGTTCGCATGCTCCCGAACAGCCCCAAGAACCCGCTCCCTTTCCTCAGAGTTTAAAGTGGAAAAGAGGATGACATAAATGTCATGTTAGGTTAGGTCATACGCTTGAGAGGTAACGAAATTCCTTAATGTAGGTGGTGGGGTCATGAGAAAAGGAACCGAGACGTATCTCAATCTGGGATAAGTTGGTGAGGGAAAAAGAAACATGGACACAGACGACACATTCTGAGCCAGCTACTTCGCGTAGGGGACAAAGAAGGGGTTTTTAGAATGGGTGTGGCTGCTTACTGGGGAGAGTAAGGAGGATTCAGGGGAAGTGGTGTCGGGAGATGTTGGTGGAGATGTAGGTGGGGGTGACGGAGAGGGTGCAGTAGGGCTAACGAGGTGGAGATGAAAGTACATGCTCTGAATACAGGGGTGGTCTATGAGGTGGGGATGAAAGAGATTTGGGTGGATCAGAAAAAGAGGAAGTTGGTTCAGGTGAATTAAGAGGAGTTGAAGAGTCTTTAGAGGGGGTTCGGACAGGAGTTTCACGAGCTAGGAGAATCTGAGTGGTATTACAAGTAGAGCAGAGAGAGGGACGGGAGTGCAGGTAAAAAAGCTTGGATGTAGGGCACCTCCGGCCATTTGCCTGTGTGGCAGTAGAAATTACTGAGATCAGTGAGAATGTTAAAATCGAAAGTTCCTTGCTCAGGCCACTGAGAATTATTATCTAGTGGATATTGGGGCCAGGCAGTAGTACAATAGAAAATTAGGCGTTTGGAACGTAAGTCCTGAGCCAGCCCGAGGGCATCAAGATTAAGTAGAAGACACCCCAGAGGAGTAGTAGGGTCCAGTTTTGAATTCTGGTTACCCATGATCCCTTAAGTCCCGATGAGAAGGTTCCGTTAAAGGACCAGTGTCCTAGTCGCTTTGCCAGAACCTTGGTAATGGGAGACCAGAAGAATAAAAGGGACATCTCCGCTGATATTCCTCGGTCTGGAATGGCTATGCTATGGAAAGACAGGGAATCCAAGGCATCCCCAGGATGTCTCTTTCTTTGGAATGGGAGAGCCTCTGACATAGAACTATAGTTTTAAAATGGACAGAAAATGGGCAGAGGCTCTGGAAATGGAACTGAGACCTGGATCTGAGTGCCCGGAATGGAGAAACTAACCAGAATGGGGAAACTCACTGGTGTTGGGTGATGGCAGCTGGAGGTTCCTGGTCCACAGCAAGAAGGAAGGAAAGGAGGGAGGGGGTGCAGCACTCTGTCTCAGCAGAGATTATGTGCACCACACTCCCCTCTCGGGTTTCGGCACCAGATGTAGGGTCGTGATGAAGAAAAGAGGAGGAGGCACAAAGAGTGGGATAAAGAAGTTTTATTCTGCACTCCTGGGTGAGGTTCACGGGTCCCTGAGAGGGGGGCCAGAGAAGTTGCGCCACCCAGACGGCAAGGGAGAGGTTTATATGGTTGTATAGTGGACCTACTGGGGGCAGAGGAAAAAAGGCAGGAACCAATCAGGTGAAAGCACCTCATTAGCATAGTCGTTAAGGGAGGGGGAAGGACCTGTGCTGGTTCAAACTAAGGCAGGAACCAAACAGATGGAAGCTGCATCTGAATTGGCCTATTTGTAACTTCTTCCTGCTCAATCTTTGACCCGCCTGACTGGTGCCACGTTCCCGCCCGACGCCTTACATTCATAATGCCTCTCTCTACTGTGAGTTTTTTTATGAGTATTGAGGGTTGAGAGGCAAATATAGGCTTTCCCACATTCTTTACATTCATAAGGCTTCTCTCCACTGTGAGTTCTTCTATGATAATCAAGGGATGAGAGGGTAGTAAATGCTTTCCCACACTCCTTACATTCATAAGGCTTCTCTCCACTATGAATTCTCCTATGTTTAGCAAGGATGGAGGAGACCCTAAAGGCTTTGCCACATTCCTTACACTGATAAGGCCTTTGTCCATTATGAATTCTCATATGACTTATTAGGTCTGATGACCAACTATAGGCTTTTCCACAGTCCTTACATTCATAAGGTCGCTCTCCACTGTGAATTCTCCTATGTTTCCTTAGGGATGATGACCAAATAAAACCTTTCCCACATTCTTTACACTCGTAAGGCCTCTGTCCATAATGAATCCTGCCATGGACTCTGAGACTAGAGGAATCTTTAAAGGCCTTCCCACATTCCTTACATTCATAACGCCTCTCTCCACTGTGAGTTTTTCTATGGGAACTGAGGTGGGAGTGTCGATTATATGCTTTCCCACATTCCTCACATTTAAATGGCTTCTCTCCTTTGTGAATTCTTCTATGTCTTACAAAGTTGGGGTAACGACTAAAGGCTTTTCCACATTCCTGACATGCGTAAGGTCTCTCTCCAGTATGAGTTCTCATATGTACCTTTAATGCCGATGACTTTTTAAAGGTTTTCCCACAGTCCTTACAATTATAAGGCTTATCACTCTTATGCAATGTTTTATGTAAAATGAAAGAGGAAGGACCACCATAGTTGTCACAACATTGTATACCTCCATGCTTATGACCTCTCATGTGTTTGCAATAGGAGGACAACCTACAAAACTCTTTCTTACATTCGTTACATTCATAGCGTTTACCACCATTGAGTGCTGACAAAGGCTTTTTAACACTTGAGATAAAAATGAAGTTCTTCCCACATACCTTACACTTATGAGGTTTCTTTCCACTACGAGTTCTCATACCAGCAGTTAGGTGAGAGGGACAAACACAGGCTTCTCCACTTTCTGTACAAGGATAGGAACTGTTTCCAGTCTGAGAGCTAGTATGGTCTGTATGTGATGGGTCATCCATGAAACTTTTTCCAAACTCTGAATATTCCAAATTATTTACTTCTGGAGGAATCCTTTGTAGCATGGTAAGATTTGGAATCCACCTGAAGGTTTTGCCACACTGACTGCCTTCATGACTTTCAGAAAAGTTCTCTGCTGTAGGATTTCTGTCAAACACAGGCAACATACTGTTGGTTTTGTATATTTCACTGTACACAAATTATATGCCAATAAAATGTATTTAAAAAAACAAAACAAAACAAAAAAAAAACAAACAAACAAGCTCAGCACAGAAAATTACATGGAACAAAGAAATCAACAGCACCATGAAAAAACACATAAGAAAATGACAGCAACAAATTCATATCAGTTAACAATTACACTGAATGTCAATGGATTAAATGCACCATGCAAGAGAAGGGCAGGTGCAGACTGGGTAAGAAAACATAATCAATCAATAAGCTCTGTACACATGGGAGGTACAGACAACAAATATGAACCCTTTTGCACATACAGTACTGTGTTGTCAGTGAAGGCAAACATGGGTAGATGGGTGGATAGATGGGTGGATAGATGGGTGGATAAATGGGTGGACAGGCTGAACGATTAGGTATGTCTATGAAATGGGGAGTGTATCCAAGAACATACATAGGGTTGGCAGACAATGGTCCTATAAGTTTATGTGAATGATCAGAAATCCCATATGTATAGTAGAGCTGGCAAGGAGCAAGGTTGTGGTAACTGCTTGGTCACAGCCAGCTACCCAGAGGGATTGAGTAGTTGAACTTGTGGGCTTGGGACCATAGTCGCAGGGGACATCAAGCTCAATTGGAATAACATACTATACAAAACATTCTTCCACCTCCTACTTTGTCAAGTAGCAACTGGGATCTTAAAAGCTAGGAAGCTGCCATCTAGATGCAACGATGGGTCTCTCCTCGTCCAGAGCAAACAAGAATGAAGAAAACCAAAAATTCATGGAAACAATTAGTCCTAGCTACTGGTCCATCATCCGATCTGCAGCCTATACAACTATGAGACCAGAAGAACTAGATGGTGCCTGGCTACTACTGTCATCCACTTGGAAGGGGATCTACGTAGGAGATCCCTGATAGAGAGGGAGTACAACGTGAAACAAAACTCAAAATCATTTGGAGGGGAAAAAGAAAAAACAAAACAAAATCGGGGGAGGGGAGGACCAGGTTTGCTGGTCCGATAGAGCCTGGTGGAACCACTGACTATGGACCCTAACTACCCTTCAGGTCTGGAATTGAACCCACATCTGTGGTTTCCAGCCAAACAAAATATAGGCATTATGAGTTGAACATTTACCTAAAGTAGATACACTCCTTGGAGAGAACAATCATGGGAGAAAAAAGGGCTGCTTATGCACAGGGAGACAGCTCAGGGGGCAGGAGTGTATGGAGGGATGGACACTGGGAAGAGATAACTATGGGGAGAAAGTGGGAGGGGAGATGCTGCATTGTGGTAAACCGTGGTCAATGTCATGAGACAAAGTATATGTGAACTGCTGTATTGAAAGTGAATTTGTTCTATAAATCTTCACCCAAATCACAATTAAAAAAAAAAAAAATGCTGTGTACAAGAGACACACCTTAGAGAGAAACATAAAAATGGATTAAAAATTTAAAGGTTGGAAAAAAATATATCAAGCAAATGGCAACCATAAAAAAGGAGTGGCAACATTAATTACGATAAAATTAACTCTAAGACAAAAACTGACAGAGGAGACATGGCAAGACATTATATAATAACTAAAAGATCAACTGAACAAGAGAACATAACCAAAATAAGTATCGTTGTACCCAATAAATGAGCTCCAAAATACATAAATCAGACTTTAACTGAATTGAAAAGACAAAGAGTCCATAGGCATAGCAGGAGAATTTAATACACCAATTTCAATCAAAGATAGAACAACTGTAAAGAAACTCCACGAGGAGGCAGAAGAACTAAACAATACAATCTACTGACTTGACCTTATAGGCAGTGCAGAGCACTTCACCCAACAACAGCACAATATACATTCTTTTCCAGTACACATGGAACCTTCTCCAGGACAGGCCATATGTTAGGCCACAGAGCAAGCCTCAGTCAATTCAAAACAATAAAATAATGCAATCTCCTCAGATCACAATGCTATATATAAAATTAGAAATAAACAACGGGAAGATGAAGGAAAAAAGAGCAAACACATGGAAACTGAATAACACCTTCCTTGAAAATGAATCTGGGAACTCTGGTGGCATACTGACTAAGGCATTTGATTTATAACCACCAGTCAGTCCTCGGAAGGAAGACTGGGCAATCTACTTCCGTAGAGATCCCTCTGAGGAAACCAAAGGTGGGGTTGCTATGTGTTGGATTCAACTCGAAAGCAGTGAGTTAGAAAACAACTGGATAACAGAAGAAATAAAAAATGAAATTAAAAAATTCTGTAAATCAAATGAGAATGAAAACACAACATACCCAACTCCTTGGGACACAGCAAAAGCAGTGATAAGAGGCCAATTTATCGCAATAAATGCACACATCATAAAAGAGTCAAAATCAACACTTTAAACCAACATCTCCAAAAATTAGAAAAAGAACAGCAGAAAAAGCTTACAGTCACCAAAAGAAAAGATTTTAAGAGAAATAAATAGAAAAGAAAGAGAACAGAAAAAATCAACAAGAGCAGAAGTTGGTTTTTGAGAAGATTAATAAAATTGACAAACCACTGTCAAGTTTAACAATGGAAAATAGGGAGAGAATATAAATAACACAAATAAGAAATGAATTGGGTGATATCACAACAGAACCAACGGAAATTAAAATGGTAACATCAGGATACTATGAAGAACTATACTCGCAACACATTTGAAAATCTGGAAGAAATGGAGAGATTTCTAGAAAAATACTATTTACCTAAACTAACACAGACTAAGTTGGAAAATTTGAACAGATCCATAATAAAAGAAGAAATTGAACAGGTCATCAAAAACAAAACAAAACAAAAAAAACCACCACCACCACCACAATAGAACTTCTCCTGAGAGTTTCACTGGAGAACTCTAACCAAACGTTCAGAGAACAGACACCAATTGTACTCAAACTATTCTAGAATGTAAATAAATAAGGATGGAATTCTCCCCAATTCATTTTTTGAAGCAAAGATAACCTTGATACCAAAACTAGGCAAAGACATCAATAAAAAGGAAAACTATAGACCAATATCCCTCATGAATATAGATGCAAAAATCTTCAACAAAATCCCAGCCAATAGGCCCCAACAGTGTACCAAAAAAATAATACATTTATTATTTTTAATAATAAATTAGGGTTCATACCAGGTATGCAAGAATGGTTCAACATTAGAAAAATAATCAACATAATCCATCCCATAAACAAAACAAAGTAAATGAATCACTCGATCCTATCAGTCAAGGCAGAAAAGGTAGTTGATAAAATCCAACACCAATTCCTGATAAAAACTCTCAGCAAAATAGGAATACAAGGGGCATTGCTCAACATAATAAAGGGCATCTATGCAAAACCAATAGATACATTATTCTCAATGGAGAGAGACTGAAACAATTGCCTTTAGAACAGGAACCAGACAAGGATGCTCTTTATTGCCACTGCTATTCAACAATGTATTGAAAGTAATAGCCAGGCAAATAAGGCAAGAAAGGGAAATCAAAGGCATCCAGATTGGAGAGAAGTCAAACTGTCCCTATTTGCTGATGATATGATTCTATACATAGAAAACCCAAGAGACTCAGCAAAAAAACTACTGGAACTAATTGAGAGATTTAACATAGTGGCAGGATACAATATCAACATACAAAAATCAGTTGGATTCCTCTACACCAGCAAAGAGATTGCCGAAAAGGAAATAAAGAAATCAATACCATTTACAACAGCTACCAAAAAAATAAAATACTTGGGAATAAATCTCACAAGGAACACAAAATAGCTCACTATTGTAAAAAGTCAAGGAAAGGATTATATATGCAAGGAAAGTCACTTTGTTGATCCCCAGGGTTGGGAGGGGAGAGGAGGGAACATGGCAAAAATAAAAACAAAATATAAATAAATAATGAGACATTCTGACAATTGTGTCCAAATGATGTATAAACATTTCAAGTAGTCAAAAACTGGCTCACATTATAAAAATAGTATACTGTGAAAATTCTCAGAACACATTTTACAACAGCCTTGACACACACTTGTATGGATGTATTAGTATTTTCAAGATTTCAAACCTGTTCCCATTGATTCCACTAATGGTAGCAGCCTACAAGTTGCATTACAATCAAAGCTGTTGCCTGACTCATCTGACCTGAGTAAGAAACAAATAAAAGTGCCCCAATCAACTGCTGACAACTGTACCGATTTAAATGTGTTGCTATGTAGGTACTGGATTACCAGTGGCTCTCTGGACAGCAACACGTATAAGAAATTGTGTGGGCGGCCATAATGTGTTTCCTACATGGCTCAAAATGCAACAGATTCAGCTGTTATATAACATGTAGACTTGTTCATGTTGGCAATTGCTTTAATGTCATGAAGTGATTCAGGTGTATGTACATACGTGCATATGTATGAAGGCGCTCTGGTGGCATGGTGGGTAAGACATTTGGCTGCTAATCAGAAGGACGGCAGTTCAAATCCAGCACGTATTTTAATATTATGGCACCTTAGGACTTCCTCCTGTTGCACTGTTTTGTCATGTTTGAATGACACTCACCTCAAATGTCTCCGCTGATTTTTATTCTGATTCCTACTGGCATTGGATTCAGAGATTTCTCCTATCGTACAGGACCAACTGTTACTCCTCATGAATGTCATTATATGTTCACCAGATAACTTTCCTCCAAAATTCATGTTCTGCGAGACTGACATAGTAATTCAGGTTGAGGTTCACAACATGAAACAAAAAGTAAAAGCATTAAGGAGAACAAAGGCTACTTTAAATAAAAACAAGACTTAGCCACATCTCCCTGTATTAGCACACTGGAAATGCTTCAAAAAATAAAAGCCATGTAGTAAGTAATACTTCTATGAGGGCGGAGAGTAATAGTGACATAAAGAACTGTAATTAGGAGAGAGAAGTAGAAAGATACTGAACATAATACACATGTAACAGCCAAAGAGGACAAGGATCTCCATGAAGACAGGTGTGGGCAGATGACTAAAATAGAAAGGGAAGTGCAGGGATTTGTGAATTTGTGTCAACTCAAGAGACACTTTCTAACTGACTGATTCAAATGTAATACCCTCTAAGGAGGGCTGGTCATTCAAGTGACTCGTTTTCCTGGTGCTTCACTACACAGTGGCCCTGTATTACTCCTGTCTTTATTGTACTCAGATGGGTGTAGCTGACACCATGCTCACGGAGAAATGCTATCATGAGGGAAGACATGAAGAGCAAAGAACATTTCCTTGGCACTGAGCTAATACTTAGTTCTTCAGTGTTTCTGAAGATGAACAGGTGTGAGTTCAACTGCAGTAAAATAAGCTTGTTAAACTTGTAATGGACACTGTGAAACTTGCTCCAAGTTCCCGAATCACAAATCTCCCAGTCCCCGAAAGCATCTCTGAAGGAAATGCTTACACTTACAACACTTACAGACTCCCAGGGATTTTAATCACAAGAGAAATGGTTTTCATTTTCATACATAGAACTTTACGTCCACGGGGAAGTCAGGACATATGAGCTCATAGTGGAAAGTACCACGCCTGTTTTATGTAAGAACTTATTCCTAATTCTCAGCACACTGGAGCACAGCCAATGACCAAATATTTCACTTCATTGTTGTTGTTATGTGCCGTCAAGTCGGCCCCGACTCATAGCGACCCCTCCTTGGGTTTCCGAGGCAGTATCACTACGGAAGTAGGATTGCCCAACCTTCCTTCCGAGGAGTGGCTGGTGGGTTTGAACCGCCAGCCTTCTGGTTAGCAGACTATGCTACCAGAGCTCCTTCACTTCATTAGACGTTTTTATTTTATTTTTAAATAAAATGCCATTCTTACCCACGGAGGACAGGTTTTTCAAGGTTTCCAGCATCACATCTCTGTAGAGTTTCCTCTGAGTAAGATCCAGCAGAGCCCACTCTTCCTGGGTGAAGACCACGGCCACATCCTCCATGACCACTGAGTCCTAAAACAGCCCACACATTCTGGATCAGGAAGGTACAATAGACTCCAATGTGTACAAGCATGAATAGTGAGGCTGACAGTCCAAGGAAACCCGAACTATAGACATTTGACAAAAAGGTTCTATGTTCTACTGAGGTCTACGCTACAGTATAAACATCAACTTCACCTCTTCACTACTTCACTTCCACAGACTGCCTTCTGCCTCCCAAACCTCCAACACACTGAAATAATCTCTCCAAAGTTGGATTGTGACTAGATGCAGTCTCAATTGGATTGTGACTAGATGCAGTCTCAATCCTCCCTCTTGATGGTGAAGAACAGTTAGAAAACATAGCAAAAATCACAGCAATTCTCTCAGTTACATCATAACTTCGCCGTTAACAATCATACCAATGAAAACACCAGAACGTGCTCAAGTCACTGCTGGTGGGAATGCAAAATGCTCCATCTAGCTTGGCAATTCCTTCCAAAACGGAATATAATGTTAAGACCTCAACCAGCAATTGCCACCTCTGGGATTTGCTCAAATGAGCTGAAAACTTTTTTCCACACAAAAACCTGTAATAGAAATATTTTAAGATCTTTATTCATGATTGCCAAAAGTTGGAAGCTACCAAGAGGCAATTCTAAAGATGATTGGATGAAAGCATTCTTTGTCAGTTACCAGGGGTGGGAGGGGAGAGGAGAGAACACTGTTAGATAGGTAGAGACCAGTATGATTTGGGTGAAGAAAAGGGCAATGTACCAAATATGAGTGATTAACACAGTGCACTGAGGAGGAGGAAGAGATAGAGAGGTACATGGGAGGTACAGACCACAAAGATGAAACCTTCTGCACATACAGTACTGCATTGTCAGTGATGGCAAATATGGACCTGCAGGTGGATGGGTAGACAAGTTGAATAATCAGGTATGTCTATGCAGGGGGTAGTGTGCTTATGACCATGTATAGGGCTGGCAGACGATGTTTCTACAAGTGTATCTGTATGTTTTGTAAGAATGTCCAGGTATATAGTCGAGCTGACAAGGGACAAGGATGTAGTCACTTCTTGGTCACAACCAGTGAACCAAAGGCAGCGAATAGTTGGACCTGTGGGTTCAGGACCATGGTTGCAAGGGACACCAAGCTCAACTGGCATAACATACTACACAAAAATACTGTTCAACATCCTACTTTGGTGAGTAGTGACCGGGATCTTAAAAGCTTGCAAGTGGCCATCCAGATGCAATGATGGGTCTCTCCTTCTGTATGTGAACTATTGTATGGAAAATGAATTTGCTCTGTACATTTTCACCCAAATCACACAAACACAAAAAAAGCTTGAAAGCGGCCATCCAGATGCAACAATGGGTCTCTCCTCGTCCAGAGAAAAGAATGAAGAAAATTAGTCCAAGGAACTGGTACACCATGTGATCCTCAGCCCATACAACTATGAGACCAGAAGAAATAGATGGTGCCCGGTTACTTGACACCAGCAGAGCCCACTCTTCCTGGGTGAAGACCACGGCCACATTCTCCACTACCACTGAGTCCTGCAACATCCCAGAAATTCTGGATCAGGAAGGTACCATGGACTTCAAAGTGTACAAGCATGAATAGTGAGGCTGACAGTCCAAGGAAACCCGAACTATAGAGATCTGACAAAAAGTTTCTATGTTCTACCAAGGTCTACACTACAGTATAAACATCAACTTCATTCCTTCACTAGTACAAAGTCAGTACATCCCTTCATCAGTACATCCCTTCACTAACTACATTCACTTCCACTAACTACATTCACTTCTACATTCACTTGGCACAATCACTTGGAGGAGGACTGGTTCAGGAGATCCTGGACAGAGTGGGAGAATAATGTGGAATAAAACTCAAAATCATTTAAAGAAAAAGGTGGGGGACCAGTTTTGCTGGTCTGATAGAGCCTGGTCGAACCACTGAGACTATGGCGCCAAGCTGCCCTTTAGGTCTGGAATTGAACCCACTCCTGTGGCTTCCAGACAAACAAAAAGACAGGCATATGAATTGAACAACTGAACAATTACATCACATAGATACACTCCCTGGAGAAATCAATCATGGGAGAACACAAGGGTAGTGTATGCACAGGGAGACAGTTCCAGGGGTAGAAGTGCGTGTCAGGGAAGGACCCAGGTAAGGTATAACTATGGGAAGGAAGTGGGAAGAGAGCTGTTACACAGTTGGAAATTAAACTCAATGTCATGAGACAAAATGTGTACGAAATGCTGCATGGAAAATGACTTTGCTCTGTAAACTATCACCCAAATCACAAAAATTAAAAAAAAAAAAAAATGCATAGAAAGTATGATGCATCCATATACTGGAATTGTACTCAACAATAAAAGAAATGAGCTAAGGAAAGTCATATAAAGACACAGCAGAACCTCAAATAAATATTGCTATGGAAAAGAGGCCACGTTGGAAAAGGCAAAAGTATATAGACTGTAAAAAGATCAGGGGTTGCCAGGTTACAAAGTTGAGGGTAAGGGATGGATAAGTGAAACACAAAAAAGTGTTCTGGAATTCCTATTCTTTTCAATGTTATACATAATTTTTTATGTTGATCCATATAGTCAAATGATTTTTCATAGTCAACAAAACCCAAGTTGAACATCTTTCTGGTGTTCTCCACTTTCAGCCAAGATCCACCTGACATCAGCAATGATAACCCCTGATCCACATCCTCTTCTGAATCCAGCTTCCATTTCTGGATGTTTCCTGTCAATATACTGCTGCAACTGGTTTTGAATTATTTTTATTAAGATTTTATTTGTGTGTAAAATAAACAATATTGTTTGATAATTTCCACATTCCACTAGATCACCATTCTTGGAATGGACACAAATATTGATCTCTTCCAGGCAGTTGGCCAAGTAGCCCATTTACAAATTTCTTGGCACAGACAAGTGTGACGGTTGGAGCTTTGTGTCAACTTGGCTAGAACACAATTCTGTGTGGTTTAAGCTGTTGTAATGTGGTTATTCCCATGATGGGATCAGTTGATTATGTTTTGAGGAGCGAATCTGTTGAAAGGGAGTTTCCCTAGGGGTGTAGCTTGCTTCCAGTATATCTATGGACATCCTGGGAAAAGAGACATTCTTCTGTGGATCAGGATTCTGTTGTGCTGTCTACAACTGTCCATGAGTGAACAATCCGGCATTCGGCCTGGAGACCTTGGATTCGTCATTTGTTGGAGTCAACAGCTGGTATACTGCCTGCCAGCCTTGAGCTCCTCAGCTCCAGTGGCTGCAAGAGTTGGAAAAAACCTCCAGCTTGACATCTGATCCAGGAACTTTGGACTTTCCAGCTTCTGTAAGTATGTGAGCCATTTTCCTAAGATGAATTTCTCTATATATACATATATATAAGCTTTACTGGTTTTGTTTCTTTAGAGAATCCAGTCTAACATAACAAGTAAGTGCCTCCAGCACAGCATCTGTTTGTTGAAGCATGTCAATGGGTAGTCCATCAATTCCTGAAGCTTTTTTTTTTTTTAACCAATTCCTTCAGTACATCTTTGACTTCTTTCTTCAGTATAATTGATATTTCATCATATGCCATCTCTTGAAATAAATGAACATCAACCAACTCTTTTTTGTACATTGACTATGTGTATTCCTTCCAACTTCTATTTCATATTTCCTGCATCATTCAAT